CTGGGTCTGGGGGTTCCCGGAAGTCGGCAGAAATTCCTACTCGGCGGGAGGGGTGGGGAGGTAAGGCGGAGTGGTGGGGGGGCGGCCCGAGGGGGTGGGAGAGGGTCCGGCCCACGCTGCACCTGGGCTGGAACTGGTCCCGCCGGCGCAGGGTAGCAGGAAGCTCTCCACACACTCACCGGACCTGGGCTGGGACTGTAAGAGGTAGATAATTTAAGAGTGAAGTAGTAAGTGAGTCAAAATAGAACATAACTAGATTGTGCTAGAAATATAGAGTGATGGATGGATAGAGGAACAGACAACATTTCTTCCATATACATGTGGCATTTCATCTATTATCTACCAAATTAACTGACAGTTAAAAAGAATGGTTGAAGAAAAAGGAAACTGAACTGAACCTGGCAAATATTAAGTTATATACTACTACATACACTGTAATCAGTACTATACTTAAAAAATACTTAAACCTATAAAAGAAAATAAGCTAAGTTTTTATAGTAACTTCAACAGTAACATTCCATCACTACCTTTATTTTCATCAAAAGTCTGCCATATAGTCATTAAAAACAACTTAAAATAAACATATGATGCAATATTAAGCAAAAAATTATGCATAGGTATCTATCATTTAACACACGTTCTGGTTTTTCTTCAGATCATTAAAATCTTTTGCTTTCTACTAAACAATATCTAACATGAAGAAGTAAAATTGCTACATTTGCGCAATGTGATTATTATATAAATATAAAACAATTCACATCTGTGTGTAAATAAAATCAGTTTTGAAAAACAAGAATACCATCAATTGCTAACTAAAGAAGCCTAGTTATAAAATCAAGAATAACAATCACAATTCCACATAATTAGAAACACCAAGAATGTCTCTATCCTCAGTTTCTCAGGTCTTCTAGGAACGCAGAACATACATGTTATATTTCCTAATTATCTAAACAGCATCTCCAATCTTTTTCAAGATTAAAAAAAAAATGTGTATCTTAAATCTCTCTATGCTCTTTAATGCAGACTTCATTTCTGAATTATTAGGCACTTAAGATTAACAGTTCAAAGTATATCCTCTACAGTTCTCACTACTTAGTACCTTGAACTATTTCAAATTCAAGTACCTTATCCTCTTGACTTCCTCAGAGGAAAAGGACTTCACATAGATTATATTTAAAGACATTTACATAAATTAAATCTACCACAGTGATCCGAATTAGCCAAAGTATTATGAAATTTTCTATTATAGATAATAAGGAGAGGCATCAAAAATTACGATACTCTTTTATACAAAGTAGAAAAACTGAGGATATTTTAACTATCTATATTTATATCTATAAATACCTGCCCAAGAGAAACTATTATACAACTCAATCTAAGAAAGGGAACACTTTGCTATGTGACAAACACATAATTTAGGCACAGTACTACAGATAGGTATTGCAGCTTTCTAAGGACATCCTACACACATTATCAATGCTTTTAAATTTGAACTTTAAAAAAGCCTTTAAAAAGCATTAGCTGTAAATTTCCTTATTGCTAATAACTATCTGCACAATTATATGCAATACGGAAATAAGACTCAGAGAACAAGATTCACTGAAAATAAGGCACAATAAGGTATAATCAAAACAAAAAATGTTTGGCCTAGAATGAATTGTATGCCTAGTACACATATCCAATAACAAGAAGTAATTCATTGGCTCTCAGCAGTCATATAATGTCCTATGACTTAAAGCTCTCTACAGATTATTTTCACACACAAATCCCAAGTTCTTTTCTTTATACTGGTATACACAGTGCTCCATTTAAAAAAAAAAAAAAAAAACACCAAAAAAACGACTTCATGAACAAAACTATGATTGCATGAAAAATATTAAAAGAATCAACAGCTGGTCTCATTAAAAAGCTTTGGCACGGCATAAGAAAACATCAACAGAGTGAAAAGACAAGCCACAGAGTGGGAAAGAACTTCAAACAGTTGTTCCTCAGACAACAGACTTAACATTCATAATGTATAAAGAATTAAAATCAGCTGGGGAGATGGCTCAGTAGAGTAAGTGCTCCCCTGGCAAGCACAAGGGTCTGAGTTCAATCCCTGGTTCAGCCAAAAAAAAAAATTAAAATCATTCAGATGCCCCAAATTGAAAGATCCAATCAAAAAATGGGTATCTGAGGTAAATACTTCTCAGATGAAATACAAACAGCAAATAAATATATGAAAAAGTGTTCAACATCACTGGTCATTTGACATATGCAAATTAAAGCAATGCTGACATTTCATCTCACTCCAGAAAGAATGGTTATCATCAAGAAAGCATCCAAAAACAAATGCTGGCTGGGCTGTGGAGAAAAAGGAACCCTTCTGCACTGTATGATAGAGGGTAGACTTGTGCAACCATGTGGAAAGCAGTGTGGAGATTCCTCAAAAACTAGGACTAGGGGTCTCATTTGACCTACCTATTCTCCTTCTTGGTATCTTCCCAAAAGAATTAAAAGCATCATACTATAGTAATATATGTGTACGCGTGTTTGTTTATGCAGCACAGTTTATAATAGCTAAATCTTGGAAACAACTCAAATGCCCATCAACAGACGAATGGATAAAAAAGATGTGTTTTCTTAATACAAGGGACTACTATTGGCCAGAAAAAGGATAAACCTGAAACTTTTACAGCAAAATGGATGGACCATGAAACCATACTCATATAAGTGAAATAAATCAGACACACATGTACAAATATTTGCATTGTCTCTGCTATGAGAAACAAAGTATAAGAAGAAACAAAATATAGAACAGATATTGTGAAATAGCAAGAAATTGTTCAAAAAGGACGGGGAAAGGAATGAAGGGCAAAGGGAAAAAAAGGGTAAAATGGTAAAAAACTTTGTAAGTAAGTAGGGAAAGGGTAGGTGAAGGGAGGGGAGGGTAACAGGGGAAAAGGAAGGAATCAATATGTATCGTGTAGAAATACAAATGCCCTATAATGTGATTATATATATATATATATATATATATATATATATATAAAACCAATAAAGAATAAAAAAAATAACAACTCTATTTAATGTAAGTACACTTACTCAGGTGATGGAACAGGAGTTTCAACAGGAGTTGATTCAGGCATTTTAGGTACAGTTTTGGCAGAAGCATTCTCTGATAAGCTTTTATTTCCTATTTGAAGAAAGATGTCCAACTGAGTTCAATTTTTAAAAGCCATACCATGAATATAACAAATAAAGAACTCTAGTTTTCAGGGTAAAAGAAAAAATGTCAAATATGTTGGCTACCATGAACTTTTTAAAAATAAACTAAGGGGCTGGTGAGATGGCTCAGTGGTCTAAAGCACCTACTTGGAACAGGCTCGGCAAGGCATCAGGGACCGCGGTTCAGTCCCCCAGCACCACATGCCAGCCAGCCCCGCCCCCTGGTGGGCTGAGCTGGCCACACACACCTCTCTCTCTCTCTCTCTCTCTCTCTCTCTCTCT